GGAGTACAATCCCTTGGTAGTTCTATTGTTTTTGGCACTTGGGAAGGTTTCTGTGGTTAAGCCACGTTAAGAAATTGTGCCTTTTTTTTCCTGTTCAGCTATAACCCAAGGCAGTGAAAAAAACAGCAACAATTTTGAAAGCAGTCACTTGTGCATCCTATGATAAAGGTATTATGTTTCATTGCCCACATCTAACTTTCAGTCTAGTGGAAATGAAAAGGCACAGTTAGGAGGCATGTGAGCATGCGATGAGAGAGATCGATGCCAATGGAGAAGTCTGTGCCAATCCCCAATTCTGTGGGATTGAAGGGGAGGGAGAGATGACCTCTCCTTCAGACTGTGCTCAACAAGGAGGGAGAGGGAGTTCATCCATGGGAAGCTGAGGAGGAGCAAATCCCAGGGGCATCTAACTCAGGGTGCAGGAACAAATCCTTGGAGAGGAAAATGGCCTAGTTCAGCTGTCACAGGAGACAGGAGAAAGCAAAGTCATCTAATCCACAGTCCCCAGGCTGATTTGCTTCCTTATGACACTATTTTGCACCAGCGTGTTCTCATCTCCCACTGTTCCTCTGCCTTGGCCAGAATCATCTCTTCCCTGTTTGCTGCTCAGATCAGTGGATGCGCATTGTACAAGCTGATCATTTCCTGAAACAACCCCTTTGCTAGTCTTAGCTATATCCATCCTTATTTTCTGCATCAGGTACTGCTCCCGCCACCATTGCTTATTGCCTTGTAAGAGGTCTCATTTTATATATTTCAATTTTACTTTTTATTAATTAGACATTTGACTTCACCTTTTGCTGATCTATACTGTTGGGGTAACATTGTCATTTTTGGAGGATGTTTTTGTTTAGTGATTCAGATTAAATAATCTCTTTGTGCTTCAGTGTCCGTGTTTTCTTACTATTTAAAACCAAATACTACTTTCTTTCATTCCTCTCATTCTGTTCCTCTTTCTCTAGATGGTAGTTTTAAGGGAGAAAAAGTTAGACTATAACTGGAGCTATGTGATAAGAGTTATTCAGAATGAGGGTGGGATATTAAGATTGGTAACTCAAAGCAATAGTTAGGGTTAGAACTAATGTTGGAATTAGGGTTTAGGGAAGCTGCTCATAAAACGTGAGGGATGGCACTTCTGGAATATTTTTCCAGCTCACTCTGCAGACACTTCCCAGCATTCCTTGGGCCACTGCAGAATAAACAATGATGAAACTTCACTTATTGGCCACAAGATGTCACTGTGGTCCACTGGGATCTGAAGGGCTCTGGGGATTCTGGGAGAGCAGCCTAGGAGGGAAAGGGTTAAGAAAAATTAGGGCTTGGATCCAATATTATGCAGATGTTGCAGCAGTTTTCAGTTATTGCCAGGCTACCTACAGCTGTACAAGAAGTGGGAAGTCCCTCTAATCTTTAATGAGATCTACAGTTGAAGAATGTTGGCCAGGCAGGCTTGGTGTCGGGGCAGGTGTAGACAGAGGAGCAACTGCCTCAGAGGAAAAGGGACAGGTGAAGGGTGGGTTGTGCCCTGATCCCAGTGCATCTCTGCTGCACCTCATCCTCTCTGCAGGTCTCAGCAGGTGACAGCTTTAACTTGTTGAGTGTTCTGGGATTCTACAACTTCATAAGTCTTACTGATAACATCACCTTGGCTGAGATTCCATTGGGCACAGAGCATGTGTTCTCTGGAGGACAAAAAATATTGATAACAATTTCTGAAACACCTAAGTAAACAAACTATTGAAGGAAAATGTTAGTAGATGCAGCAAACTGTGGCGTTAGACCTGAAGATAACAGAGTAGTACAATTATACAAAAGAGACTATACATAAGTCTGTACTAAGTACTTGTGGGCATAGAGCAGTGTTTGAGTCCTATCAGGGTAGATTAAGGAAGGAATTCAGCTATTATCATGACTTTGGCTTGGATGAAAATCCATTAACTCCTCAATTGATTTTCTTGTTAAATATTACAGAATAATATTGAACAAACTTTTTATTTTTATCCAGCCTGTATCCCTCTTTAGCATTAACAGGTAAAGCTGACGCCTCTTTAGCACTAACAGGTAAAGCCAACACCTCTTTAGCACTAACAGGTGAAGCTGAAAGCAAGGTTTCTTTAGTTTGGATCCATTAACTACAGGACTGTGAGGTCCACAGCTGGGCTTTACAGGGAGTGCAAACCACATGTGCAGGGAAGCCCAAGTGTCTGTGCTGTGCCCAACTCCCCTCTGTGAGGCTGCCAAAGGGGGAGGCCCAGGTCACCCAGGACCCCACTCACAAAGAGGAGAGTAAGCTTCTTGCTTGGCAAAAAAATCAATTCAAAAATTGGCCAATCTGTTCAAAGCAGAAATGAAAGGAAAGTCTCAATTGTGAGACTGATGAATGCCCAATTTTCCAAGTTATGAAATTTGTAGCAGCTCATGGTTCTCAGAATGATTTCAACAGCATATGAAGATATTTTTTAAAGTTTTTGTTTGTCTACAGCTTTCCTTGATTTTGGTCCTAGTTGTTTTTCAGCCCACTCAGCAGTTGAGCTTATTTTGATGCCAAATTTCATTGTTGCCACTTCAGTCACCAAGCACTATTCACATTCTCCATAACTTATACAGATAGGTGCGTTCCTGTCTTTTCTCATTTTTGTGTGATTCATTTTAAAATTGGGCTATACAGAATACAAGCATACATTTGTAAATGACTCCCATATTTTATGCAATTTAGCTGTTTACTTTTTAGTAATACCTTTTATGAAAGCACAATAGAGAGTAAAACAGAAATATTAATACAAGGACATCCTGGTACTTTTTGACAAATGCATATGCCAGTGCAACAGTAACTGAAATGATTATGAAAAAATTTCCGTCATGCAGGAAAGTGTCATCATGCTCCTTTCCAATCAATTTCTATCCCAGAAATAAAAACTTTTCTTATTTATTTCTTTATTTATTTAGAGACCAACTCTCACTCTATAGCTCAGGCTTGAGTGCAGTGGCGTGATCTCAGCTCACTGCAAGATCCGCCTCCCAGGTTCACACTGTTCTCTTGCCTCAGCCTCTGGAGTAGCTGGGACTACAGATGCCCACCACACCCGGCTAATTTTTTCTATTTTTAGTAGAGACAGGGTTTCACCATGTTAGCCACGATGGTCTCGAACTCCTGACCTCATGATCTGCCTGCCTCAGCCTCCCAAATTTTTGGGATTACAGGCATGAGCCACTGCGCCTGGCCAGAACTTTTCTTATTTTAATTACCATTGACTAGGTTGGTCTGTTCCTGAATTCCATATAAATGGAATCATATAACATTTTTATTGAGTTATTTTCCTCCAAAGTTAGTATTTCTGAAGTGTATTCATATTGTTGTATCAGTAGGTCATTCTCTCTTATGACTAATATTCCACTGCATATAAATACACCACAGCTTGTTGATCCACGCTCCTGTTGATGGAGATCCACGTTACTCCTGTCTTCAACTATTAGGAATAAAGTTATTGTGAACATTCTTGTGGAATTCTTTCTTGTGGACATACGCATTCTTTTTTTTATTTTCTTTTAAGTATAGACATAAGAGTGGAAATACTGACTCAGTGTAGATGCGTGTGCTACGCTTCCACGTCCCCAAGAAAGCTCATATTGAAGTTTGTCAATGTGATGGTATTGGGAGGTGGGACAGTTATGACAAGGTCATGAGGGATCCGCCCTCAGAAAGAGATCAGTGCCCTTATTGTGGGAGCGAATTCGTGGTCTTGGGAATGGTTTTCTGATAAAAAGGGTGAATTCAGTCATTTCCTCTGATTTCGGTGCTTGCTTCGCCTTCCTTCTGCCTTGGATAACAGCAGGAGGCCCTCATCAGTTATGACCCTTTGATCTTGGACTTCCCAGTCTCCAGATCTATAAGCCAAATAAATCTCTTGTCCTTATAAATTTCCCAGTCTGTGGTATTTCTCTATAGCAGTAGGAAAGAAATTGAAAGCAAACATGGTGCTGAGAGTGAGGCTGTTGCTATGACAAGTACCTGAAAATGTGGAAACAGTTTTGGTTAATGGCAAACAGGTAATGGATAGGGGTTGGAAGAATTTGGAGAAGCAGACTAGCAAAAGCCTAGACTGCTGAAAACAGAGCATGAAGGACAATTCTGGTGAAGGCTCAGGGGGAAATGAGGAACAAGGTACCGGAAACTGAAGTAAATGCCATCCTTGTAAGTAGCAAAAACCTTGGCAAAATTATGTCCTGTTCTAGAACTTTATGGAATATAAAAATTATGACCCATTTGCTAGGATATCTGCTGAAAGAAGTATCTAAGCGGCTAAGCATTCAGGCTCCTGTGTGACTACTTTCAGGCACTAGGAAATTTAACCCAGCAAGAAGGGAGCCAAGGGAATAGATTTTGCAAACCAGCACAGATGGTGACCCTACCTCCCTCTGCTGTCCTGTCTCCCATAAGCCAAAATTACTCTGGACTTAGAGAAAAGGGGAGACGGTTAACATGATACACTGGGGTCAGCTTCTGAAGGCAGGGTGGATCTGGAGGGATTAACATATATTGTCCAGAGCACTACATATAGGATGGCCTTGAGGATGCTGAGTCCTAAGCTGGTTAGGTCTGTGCTGTGAGCTGATGAGGCCCCAGAATAATTTCTGGGGAAACTGTACTCCTGATAATTTACAGACAACCCAGGTCTGCTTTGGATCTGATCAGATGGACCTGATATTGGGGACTCTGCACCGCTGGCCACTCAGGAAAGGGGCTGGGAATGTTGCCTGGGACAGGAAAATATGATAAGAAGCATTGGTGTGAATCTAGCATCAGAAAGATGATGTGAGGACAGCCAGGAAGAGCTGGAACCTGAGGTTTAATCACAGGCTCCTCCCCCCCTGCTGATGGGCAGGTGTGTGAGCTCCAGCATGGAGCACTGCAGCACTAGGTGGGAGGAAGGTGAGAGGGTGATGAGGCAGCCTGTGAGTGGGGAGGTGTAGGCAGAGGATCAACTGTATCATCACAGAAGCTTCTGCCTTCACCCATCCCTCCAGCTCTGTAGGACAGGTAGAGTCCAGGGTCCGTGGAGCACTAGGCCTAAGGAAGCCTGCGTGGGGAGGACACAGGACAGTGACATCACAGGATACCCCTCCCATCAGGAAATCAAGGCCCAGAACTCACTCAGCTCTTCCCCAGGAGGACCAAGCCCTGCGTCAGGTGCAGTGCTGCCTGCCCCACTGTGCCATGGGCCCCGGGCTCCTCTGCTGGGTGCTGCTTTGTCTCCTGGGAGCAGGTGAGTCCTGTGCACTGGACAGCAGCCCCATTCTCAGCTTTCCCACCCCTGTGTCCTCCACTTTACCTTGGTGAGGGTCTCTAGGCTGTCTCCTGTGCTCATCCTCCGTCTCCTTTTCCCACAGGCCCAGTGGACGCTGGAGTCGCCCAAAGTCCCACGCACCTGATCAAAACGAGAGGACAGCAAGTGACTCTGAGATGCTTTCCTATCTCTGGGCACAACACTGTGTACTGGTACCAACAGGCACTCGGTCAGGGGCCCCAGTTGATATTTCAGTATTATCGGGGGGAAGACAGAGGCAGAGGAAACTTCCCTGAACGATTCTCAGGTCGCCAGTTCCCTAACTATAGCTCTGAGCTGAATGTGAGCGCCTTGTTGCTGGGGGACTCAGCCCTGTATCTCTGTGCCAGCAGCTTGGCACAGCCTGGTAGAGTCACTGACATTCTGTATGTAAACTTCCTGCCTTAGCTTTCACTTGAGAGCTGCAGGCGCCACCCAGGTTCCACTCCTTTAAGGGAAGCTTTCAGTTGTTTGGAAGGCATGTCTTGTGTCCTACCGAGCATGAAGCTCTCCCAACCAACAGAGCCCAGGTTTCCTGTGCTCTGAGAGTGCCCGCTTCTCTGCTGCATCCTCTTGCAGCTTGTCACTTCCTGGGTAACTTCAGAAGAAGAGTGACTGCGGAGTCCCAGATGTGTGCTTGATTCTTTGCATTTGTTATATAGCATAGAGCTTTTCAACAGTCTTGCACATCAAGCATTCTTATTTTTCCTTTATAGATGGGAGGCTCAGGGACATTGAGTCATTTTCCCGTGTCTCCTGGCTTGTAAGGACCAGAAGTAGGAAACAAACTAGTCCATACATTTTCCACTTACTCCCCTGCTCCATCATCACCTTCTACATCCTGGTCAGTAAGTCAGAGCCCTCACACTGTCCTCTAGTGACCAGCAGGGCTGCAGTAGAGTCTCAGATGCCTTCAGGGGTCATTACTATGGCCTCTTCATTAGCAACTTTGAGGAATGTTAAATTTCACACTTTTAAAAAATCATTTATATGCATTCCCCATGTCTTTCCCCAGTCTACAACTTATATTTTAATTTTTATGGTGTTTTTTGATGCACAAGAATATAATTTAATGCAACAAAATAACAATTTTTTTTCGTGTGTAGACAAAAAGCGCTTTCTCATATAAATGTCTAAGCATAGTTTTCTCAATTTACTCTGGTAAAATTTAATTTTGGATTTTCCCCACGAAGAATAAATGTACCTGAAATATATCTCATGTAAGAAATAAGCTAGAGACCTAGGAATGGGAGGGAAGCACACATGTTCAGTCAAGAAGAAATAGTCTGTCAAACAGAGCCCTAAAGTGGACACCGGGAGCTGACGGTAGGTGATGGTAGGAGGAGCTGATGGTAGGCGGAGGACAAATGATCACGACCCTTGTCAGTGTATTGTCTTGTAGAAGAAAGGCAGCCAGAAGCAGAGACCAAATGGGTGAAGGTTTATGACTTGACTCTAGGGTGAAGGTTGCAGCAGGTAGAGGGAGGAATAGCAGGCAGAGGACAGAGTCACTGACTGGCAGGGGCAGTGGAATCACCAGTTGACTCTACTTACATCCAGGAATTATGACCCCAACACACAAGTTGAAAAAACTCCCCACTATTGGCCTATTTTTCCCTGACCCTGCCATGACCACCAGACTCCTCAGTGGTGCGGCCTTCTGCCCCTAAATCCTCTTTCTTGTCTAACTACATCCTAGCCTAAGCCTTTACCTCAGGTCTACATTATTGGAGTCCCTCCTTGGACACTTAACTTCCTTCTTTCATAGACTTTACAGAAGCTGGGACAACCAGATCCCAAGATACCAGAGAACAAAAGCAAGACATGAAGTGGCATGGAGATGCGTGAGACTGTCATCCATAACTACATGTGTAGGCATTGATAGGAGCTGAAGCTGGTGCACAGCTGATTCATCCCAGCACACACTACAGAGAAATCCCTGAGGGTCTGTGCCTTTCTCTCAAAGCCAAATAGGTGGCCTTGGTGTCCAACAGCCTCTCCGAGACCTCTATGCCCTCTTGCACCAGCCTCCTCCCCACAGCCACCTTCCTCTGCACACAGAGCTCAGTGGAAGATACAGGTGGCCTTGTCTTCACGAGACCATGATCCAGGCAGTGGAAGACATTGTCCCATAGGAGTTTCCCCAATACTGCCCAGGCTGGGGCCCTCAGATTTCTGAGCAGCTCTCCCAGGCCAGTCTCAGCTGGATGGGGGAACGCACGTCACCGTGATGTGAGCAGAGGCAGCCTCTCTTCCAGGCCCCTCCTACAGCTCTGACCTCAGAAGTCCTCTTACTCAGTTGCTCTCAGAAACGAAAGTTCATTTGAAATTGTGTATTTGCAGACAGCATTGACAACACAAATCTATGTTCTTCACAACTCCATCTTCCCCACACCACTCTCATATCAGTCCTCAGCCTCCTCCATGTGATGTCTGCTCCCAGCTGTCCTCGCCCTTCCTCTGCACCCTCATCTCCACGTCAACCACAGATGCCTCAGTTCAGGCCATTCCTCATGCGTCATGCTCCTCCCACCAAAGACCTTTCCACTACATGCTGTAACCTCTGGGTCATCACAAGTCTCTTCTTTTTTATTCTTTCTCCAAATCTCAGTTTAGCTACCACCATCTCTAGGGAAACACTCCTTCAACAGTTTTCCTAGGCTGCACCTCCTTATTGTAAATGCTCACAGCTTATAATATGCATTAATATTCTTAGATTTAGCACCATAGTCATTTTCCCTGACTCTGTGTGACTATTTGACACTTCTCTTGCATTCTAGACTGTAAAATGCATCATTTTACAAATTGTGGATGTTTTGTTCTCCATTTTATTGTCAGTACCAACAGCGGTTCCAGGTGCCACTGATCAATCTTGAAAGAATAAAGAACAGATACTGAAAGGCCCTCTGAGTTCCCACATAGACTGTTCCAGAAGTCTGTATGCATTAAATGGGACCCTCTATCCTTTCACCTCCTAAGATCAAATGAGTCCTGGAAACAGATGAGAAATCCCTGTCATGGATGAGTCACTGGATCACAAGCCTTTCTACACGACTGAATTTCCTATCTGCCCATCGCCCTCCTGGCTTGTCTCCTTATTCAATCGCCTCCCTCACAGGTGTCCTGGATTTGGGAGTCTCACAGACACAGGGCACCTAAGCACTCTGAGACAGTGATCAGAAACATAATGTCAAACACTGGAATTAAAAGGTGATGAAGAAGAAAACAAATGACTTCCCCATTCTCTTAGGAAGAGTTTTCCCAAGGCACAAATATCCCTTTGGGTGGCTTTGAGGCCATGGTGCCTGATACACTGAGCGATATTATGGGTGTCCATTTCCATGAATTGGTGGGCAATGCCAGAGACACAGAGCTCATGGTCACCAACTTCCTCCAGCCCACACCTGATTTTGGTGCAGGGCACTGAGCAGAGACCTTTGCTTGTTCCCCTCCTTTGCCAGTCAGGAAAGACTGGTTGTGAGACAGAGGCTCCATTTACAGAGCAGGGCTATGTATTAGTCCCTGAGGAATGGTGAGAGCCATCCTGGGTGGAAATAATCAAATATACAGTCACTAAGGATGGCCCACAGATAGAAGGAAGCCCCAATTTTGCTGGAATGATTTGCATACAAGTTTTAAAGACGAATGAAGTTTTACCTCTTAGGCAATAAAGACCAAAAATAGACTAGCTATTTTAAATAATTGAACCTTATACAGACCAAAGTCAGAACATCTTTCCTAGGGCAGTATTTTCTTCCACCCACTCACTAAAGCTGCATTTGAGAAAGCTGTGTGCTGTTAATAAATGCTGGAATATCATTACAATCGACATCATAATACTACTACTAATTGGATCAGAAACATAAGCTTGAAAAATGTAAAACGAGCTCTCACTGAGTTTGGAAATGTAGGCACTAGAGGGTGCTCATTTCTCTTCCTTTTCCAATCAGGGGGCTATTCAAAGCCTGTTCTAGAACAAGGAGTGAGATCCTCCACTTCCCCGTGGTGATCAGACTTTCAGGGGTAGAAGCCTTATTAGTTCATAATCAGCACAAACCGACCTCACCATCAAATGTGTCGACCCCGATGCTCACCCTCCTCAGCAGTCAGAGACTGGCTGTGTTCACCAGGAGCTTGTGCGCTTTTACGGAGCATACTTTATCCTTGGTTTATTACAAAAAATGGGCCTCTATAGGGGTTTCCATAAACAGAAGCTCTCTATACTTTGCCCATTTAGAAACTACAAAGTCTGACACCAGGTGAAAGGTGTAACTTAAAGCTTGTATGTGGTGAAGATTTTTAAATAAACAAATTAAATAACATATAAAGAAAATTTCAATAATGCAATCCCACCTTCCATTGGTAACCAATATTAACACTCTGGTTTGCTTCTTTTCACCCCTCTTTTCTGTGTTCATGCATACCTTTCTATCCAAGTACACTTACAGAAAATGGGTTCACCTGTACACTTTACCTGTCACATGCATACTCTTCTGTTAATATACCTTGGTCTTTATTGTTCCAGATTGGTTGATATAGACCTAACTTGCTCCTATTAGCTGCTTCATATTGCATAATGAGGGTAGACAGGTACATTCGTGCTCTATTTTCTGATTCCTAAATTCTGCTAGATCTTTTCTAAAGTGACTGAATGGCCTATTTATGCTTCCTGGTTCTCCTCACTCCAGCACTCAGTTGATGATTCCAGCTTTTCCATCACTCATAGTCCTGGCAGGTCTGAGAGCTCCATTGGTTTCTCCTGCATGAGGAGACAGGAGTGGATAAAAGGACAGACATTTATCAAACCTACCAGAGACTACACAGTATCTCAGTTAATCCTCATAAAGCATTGAAGGGAATGTTAGTCTTGTTTTATAGATGAGGCTAGATGAGGTTAAAGTCCAGGAACGGTAATGAATGGCCTTGTCCATGGTCTCAGAGCTAATAAATGTTGGAGGCAGATGAAGAAGAGACTGCTTGCTTCTGTGTGGGATTGATAGAGGGGTCACTGGAGTTTGAGGGAGGGGAAGTCCAGAACCATCCGGGGTGTTTTTTAAATTGGAAACCAGGGGTAGGGCGGTCTGTGTACCCTACAGCACTGCAGGTACAAGTATCATGGTGTTGGCAGTGGGGAGGTACTAGCCAGGTAAGTGGTTATTGGTCTGGAACCAGAAGATCAGAGCTTTGAAAAAAATTATTCCCTTCACAAGATGTAGAAGAGACATCAATGTGGATAAACTAAGCCAGGGAGCTCTGTGAAGAGTTGTTAAAATGAGGGAGGGAGAAGCAACTAAGTGGTCACTTCCCATACACTAAATGTAGAGGAAAACAATGTTAACTAGAATCCCATCTGATTTTAGTCAGTTTTTCTTTTAAGTAGTTGGAAGGTGGGATAATTTATTTTCAAAGTTAAGTGAACACCTATACATCTCTTTTGCCTTGTGAAGGCTGGTGACAAAGGGAAAAATGGCACGGCCAATGGAGTCACAGTTTGTTTAATAAATACCTCAGAGTTCAAAGACAGACTCTCATGGGGCAGAAATTGGCAAATGTTTCTGCATTCTAAAATTGGGCAAATTTTATTTTCTTTGAATCACAGAAAAGGAAGAACAGGCAGTGGGGAGGGACAGTTGGGAAGACGGCAGAGTGGCCGCAGGCTGTCGAAGACAAAGGATATATTATATCAAATTCTAAGCTGTGTAGCTGTGATGCAACCCTCTTCCTTCTCCTAATGGATTTTTTAGGTCTCAGCACAGATGCACACCTGAGGGAGTGATTTCTTTGGAAATTAAAGACAAGTAGCTGTGTTAGCAACAAGTCCACCTACCAAAGCACACCTGGAAATGGAAACAAGATTATTTCTAAGGCCTTTTCTACTCTGAGTCTCTAACTTGTTGGCAAGTTGAGAGGTGAAAAGGTGAAAGGGTGTTGGCTGGGTCTAGGAGAAGGTGATGAGCTCAGGAAATAGACAAAGAGAAATCCCAGGGGAAAGCTTATGAAACCCTGGAGGAATCACAAGTCAAATTTCTCCCAGAAGATGGTGGCAGTGACTCACTTTCAGGTACAATTTGCTAGTGCTACAGAGCTAAGATGGACTTAGTGTGTTGGCACTTTGCAAAATCTGGGCCATTTGGTCATTTTCTTCAGTAGCTTTTTAAAGTGAAGTTTTACTTCCAATATTGACCTGATGTGTGAGTCCGTTCTTATGGGGGTTAGGGTTAAAGTTACTCTATTACTTGAGTACCCATGAGGTATTATTGGTCATGGAATGAGCAGGATTATCAGGAGTAGAAGGGGTAGGGAGAGGGAGAACTGTTACGTGAAGCAGTAGGGTTGAGTGAAGAGTATTTTAGATATACGAGTACATACAGGGATCAAATCCCAGGTAGCCCCCAGCCCCTATGGAAGGAAGGTCAAGATTTGACAACTGGGAGAGTCATGATTACACCATGCAGCTTGATCAAGGAATGAGAAAGCTTTCTAGACAAATGACAGGTAATGACCCACACTGTGAATCGGTATTGAATGTGAGATGTTAAAATATATTCATATATACACTCATATATCTAAAATAAGAAGTCCACCTTACAAACCCTGAAAATATAACTCTGAAAACATAAACCCTCACTATTACAGGATGTGCAGGTGGTTTCAGACCTGTGAAGACCTTCGAACAGGATTAAAATCCAGTAGGCAGAGGTCTCTGATTCTTTGTTAGCTACAGAGGAAGATGTGCTATGGTGGACACCTAGGGTGTCTTCCCATCCCCATTCCCATCCCCATCCCAGATCCACACCTAGAGGCGGGTCAGGCAACACAATTCAGAGAACCACCAGAAAACCTGTGAGAATAGGGATCTACTCTGAATCCAGCTTCTCTCAGCTCTGTACCCCTTGCTGTGTAGGAGTCAGTGCAGGAGAAAACTGACTGGGTGGGAAGAAAAGGGACCTTGAACCATGCCGGGGAGACCTGTGAACTGTGACATGAGCAGCAACAGCACCACCACAGACACACACTTGCCAGGCACAGGTTCATGACAGATCCTGGCCTCTTGCAGCACCAGAGCTCCGAACAGCCTCTACCTGCTCAGTCTCCCATGGGATCCAGGCTCTTCTCCTGGGTGCTGGACATGCCTTGGTTTCTCGAAACTAAGTGTGTACTGGATGCACCTGGGGGAATCTCAGCTCTAAGTATGCCAAGCCTTGCCAGAGGAACCATGTATTTTGAAAATGTACGGGGTCTGTGTTAAAAACAACAATTTCCCTTTCAGAGCATGAGGGGATTCCACGTTCCTCTGCTCAGTTGTGCTTTGTCTCCTGGAAGCAGGTGGCTCGAGAAACCTTTTTGGGAAATCCCTGTCCCTGCAACTGCTGTGCCTCAGTTCCAAACATTCCCTATACAGCCTCATAGGTCCTAGCTCCAGGTTCTATCTCCATTCATGACCCTGTGCTCACACAGACCTCTTGAAAGCAGGTAACGGGGATGGAGCAGTAACAGGTGTGAATACATGCTACTTTTGGCATCATCTATGGGAAGCAATGTCAGCTGGAAATGCACCAGCATGAATTTTATACTATTGTGATGTAGCACTTCTGAGATTGAAGGTACAATGGCATTTTCCAAGCTGGTCAACCAAACATCTCACTCCATAAGCTGGACACATGTCCCCTAGGGGCGTGGGATTCTGTGGGTCTCCTTTTGCCAGCAGCAAAGACCTTGCTCAGCCATCTCCTCTGCTTTGCTTCAAACTTTTCCTCCACTTTGCAGGATCTTCTCAAATCTGGGTCTAACTTGCCTGCAGTGAGAGGAATTGTGACTATTGTCCCTCACATGAAAGACGGTGCCCATGGAGTTTTGAGAGTTAAGTTAGGAATGAAAATGAGAAATTAATTGCTCATAATACAGACTGTTAGGAACCCCAAGGATTAATTCAACTCCCTATTTTTTAATTGTACTACTCCCATCAGAATGTCAAGGGTAAAACAGTTCTGACTCTTTCTAAAGGCTGTGGAACATTTATTTATTTCAGAGGTGACTTAGAAACACAGGAGGTGTCGTGATAAGTAGTGGAGACAAAAAAGAAACAGTATTGAGATTAATACATTCATATGGGGAATTGTTTAATTGTTCTTTTTTTAACCTTTAGAATGAGTTGAAGATCCCAACTTAGCTTGGTGCCTGCCGGAGGCAACATTTCTTCCCTTACCCCTCTGAGCTGTGAATTCAAACTCTTTCAGGAAAAAGACCAGCAATTCTCTCCTTCACTTCCCAAACACCTCCCACTCCTACCCAGACCATGGATGGGCAGGAAAATGCAGGAACAGAGCCAGAAACAGGAGATCTCCAAGGAAGGTTGACAGTCAGTACTGGGATCTTCTGTGTAAAGTGCTGTTGAAGCAGCCAGGTGGCATGTCCAGCCGACAAGGTGAAAGGAATAAGAGAAGCCAGAAGACTTCCCAGAGGTGGAGGGTGGAATGTGGGCAGCAGCTCCCTGAAGGGCTGAGTGGGGAAAACAAAGCCGACCTAACAGAAGCTGTGTGTGTGGAAACCCACTTCTGACTTACCACTTTTCATGAATTCTATGCTTCACGGTGTTACACTGTTTATTGTTTCTGATGAGTGACAGTAATTATTTTCTTTCTTGCTGGTATATAATAAAGTGGTGCGCATCAGAGTTGCTGCTATCTTAGACTTAATTAATCAGTATCAGGTGATCCTGAGGCTCAGTGATGTCACTGTGGGAACTGCTCTGTGGGGACAGGGACATACCTCCTTCTCTGCTCCTGCTCACAGTGACCCTGATCTGGTAAAGCTCGCATCCTGCCCTGACCCTGTCATGGGCACCAGGCTCCTCTGCTGGGTGGCCCTGTGTGTCCTGTGGGCAGGTGAGTCCTTAGAACACCAAGCAATCTCATTGTGTCTGTGTGTGTGCGCGCGTGTGTGTGTGTATGTGTGCGTGATGACTACAATTGTTTTCCTCCTGTTCCCAACTTCTATCTCCACAGATCACACAGATGCTAGAGTCTCCCAAGACCCCAGACACAAGATCACAAAGACGGGACAGAATGTATCTTTCAAGTATGTTCCAATTTCCGAACACAACCGCCTTTACTGGTACTGACAGACCCTGGGGCAGGGCCCAGAGTTTCTGACTTACTTCCAGAATGAAGCTCAACAAGACAGATCAGGGCTGTTCAGTGATTGGTTCTCTGCAGAGAGGCCTGAGGGATCTATCTCCACCCTGATGATCCAGCACACAGAGCAAGGGGACTCAGCCGTGTATCTCTGTGCCAGCAGCTTAGCCACAGCATGGCACAGTCGCCTCCTTCCTGTTCACAAACACTCAGGCACTTACTTCTCCTTCCAGCTCTCAGAAGCCCTGAACAAAGGAGCTGCCCTGCTCTTTCCTCAGCAAGGAGAATGAACGCATTTGGAACTTCCGGTGTTCTTCTGATACTAGGAGGTCAGAAAATAACCTCTGAAATACAGGAACAGGGAACACTAGGTAGTAATAATTTTGGCTTATGAATTTCTGGAATTCCTTGTATATAATTGAAATTTCTATAATTAGGATATAACAGAGCTTGGTCTCAGGGATAGTGACTAACTACATATTCTCTTATAGAACTATGAAGTTTCAGCACATTCATATTAAACTACTGTTACCACGTGGTCACCAACTCAGACCTACAATCTACCAAGGAGTGGCGAAGCCAAAAGCAAACACTGTTAAGGCCATTTACAGCTACCACCCTTGGAAGACAATTGGAATATTTAGTAAGAATTTCCATCAAAATCAATTATTCAGAAATAACTATTACACACAATAATGCATATTAACTCATGTTTATACATTGCTTTTTTCCTTCTGAAAATCTTGTAGTCATTCTGTGTTTAATTTCCTTCTTCTCCACTCTAACTTAAAAAAAATAGAAATACAAATTGAGATTGGTTTCATAAGATAAATCCCACCTGGGAAGGTGTTAAAAGGACACAATTCAAAGAAGACCTGAATAAAATTATATCAACTACGTAGGATTCTTTGAGGTTTCCAAAGAAGATGTACCAATTTACATTCCCATGAGAGGTATATGAGAGTTTTGGATGGAATTTTTTTTTTTCTCTCTCTGTAGATTAGTTTTTCCCTCTACTAATAGTTTCTCTTGATAAACAGAAGTTCTTAAGTGACAATCATTCCATGTTTCTCCTGTTTCAGTTAGTGTTTTGTATTTTGGTGTCCACTTTAGGAAATCCTTGCTTACTTCAAAATGATCGTGTTTTCTTATATTTCCTTCTAAAATCTTTATATTTTCCACTTTTCACACTTAGACTCACAATTGAACTGGAATTAATTCTTTGCAGGTGATATGAGGAAGAGGTCAAGTTTTATTTTTCCAAATGATTATTCAATTTACCCAATACTATTTGTTAAGTGGTAATAGTTTCGTCATCACCCTGTAATACCACTTTTGTCATAAGTCAGTCATTATACATGTGTGGCCTTTTTTCTCGGATCTCTATTTTGTTATATTGGTCTGTTCTATCAGTTCTTGCACTGATAATACACTGTCTTACTACAGCTTCATCCTCATTCTTAATATCTGGTAGAATAATTTCTCAAGCTTTGTTCCTTTTTATCAAGTGTTCTTGAGCACTCTTGACACTTTTTTTCACATACATTTTAAAATCAGCTTGCCAAATTATTCAAGAAAAAGATAACAACTGCTGGGATTTTTGTTTTTGTTTTTGTTTGTTTCCAACTGACTTAAGTGCATCGCAGAACAAAGGTAAAAATATTAATAGAAATATAAAAATATCTAACACCCAAAAATACAAAATACAAAATATCTGGCATCAATCAAAAATTACCTGCAAAGAAGCATGAAAAAAGGATCCATAATGAAGAGAAGGATTAATTAATAGGAACCAAGTCAGAAATGACAAATTGGCAGACAAAGAAAGTCAAACAGTTATTGTAACTCTGGTCTGTAAGTTCAAAGCTTTGTAGAGACGGGGAAAGGCATAATGAGGTCCAAACAAAGCTTCTAGAGATAAAAATTACAATGTCTGTTATGAAAAATATACTGGATGAAGTTAACATCAGATGAGACATTACAGGATAAAATATTAATAAACTTGAAGAAATAAACAATTCTTAATGAAATACAGAGAATAAGAGGAGATCATCAGTAAACTAAGGGACAACTTTAAGTAGCTTAATATGTAATTAGAGTCCCAAAAGCAAATTTTTAAACTTAAATTTCTTTAAAGGATAATTGGTTATTTACACTGAAATAATTCCAACACACTGCAGGGATTCTAATATATGCAAAAGTAAATCTATAACAAGACTAGCATAAAGACAGGTGAGGAATAAATAAACACATGTATCATTGGAAGGTTTCCATAATCTGAGTGAAGTCACTTGAAGGTAGACTGTGTTAAAGTAGAGATGCATACTGAAAATCACAGAGCAACCACTAAGATGACAAAACACAGCCAACACAATACAGAGTTATAAAAATGCTCAAATAATCCATAAAAAACAACATAAAAAGAAAAAAGGAATATAGAAGCGATGGGATTGATAGAAAACAAATAGAAGATGATAGACACAAAAGTAACCACATCAACAATCACATCAAATCTAAATAATCTAAAAGCACAGATTGTACTATTGAATATTATTAAATACTATCAAAAAACAACTATATGTTGCTTATCAGAATACTACAAAGACTCATAATGTAAAAAAATAAAATAAAAGTATGGAAAAAGATGTACTACGCCAACACCAATTAAAGGAAAGCTAGAGTAGTTATGTTAATATCAAACAAAATAAATTTCAAGCAGAGAATATCTGAGATAATGAAAGTCATATCCTAATGACAAAAGTATTGGTCTATCAAGAGGTCTTAACAATCAAATTCTTATGTACCTGAAAATGGATCTTCAAGATACCAAGGCAAAAACAGAACTGCCAGGAGAATTAGACAAATCCACAATTACAATCAGAGATTTCAATACCCCTCTTTTAGTAACTGGTTTAATGAGTTGACAAAAACAAAGACGAGTAAGGATAAGAAGATATGAACTACACCAACAACCCACTTGACTTGACGTTTACAGAACACTTCATCCAATAGCAGCAGAATACATGTTCCCTTGGAGTGCGCACTGACTGTGTGCCAGCATGTACAATGTACTCTGGGCCATAAAACAAGCATCCATGCATTAAAAGTATTCAAGTCAAACCAAGTGTGCTTGCTGGTCACAGTGAAACTTCATTAGAAATCAGTAAGAGAAAGATTTCTGGAAAAGTCCTAAATATTTCAAAATTAGATAATAGTTTTCTAAATAACTCATAAGGCAAAGAATAAATCAAAAGATAAAAGATAATTTACAATTATTTTAATAATATCTTTTGGTCATTTTTTTTTTCTTTTTGATCAAATACTGGTGAGAATGAAGATAAATGGATAAATGAGACTTTTTTTTTTTTTGAGACAGAGTCTCACTGTGTCACTGAGGCTGGAGTGCAGTGGCACAGTGTTGGCTCACTGTAACGTCCGTCTCCTGGGTTCGAGCAATTCTCCTGCCTTAGCCTCCTGAGTAGCTAGGATTACAGGTGCCCACCACGACGCCTGGTTAGTTTTTATATTTTTAGCAGTGATGGGGTTTCATCATGTTGGGCAGGCTGGTCTCGAACTCCTGACCTCAGGTGATCCACCTGCCTTGACCTCCCAAAGTGCTGAGATTACAGGTGTGAGCCACCGTGGCTGGCCCAGCCCTTTCTTTTTTTGGGGGAGAGTAAATTGTAAAATCCTTTTTGTCTAGTAATTTAGCAACAAACATCAAAAGAGTAAAAATTACTAACAGTCCTTGACTCAGAGTGTTTTTTGTTTAATGAATTTATTTTAAGGAAATTGCTATATATGCATAAAATGTTTGAGAATGTTCAAAAGAATTATTTTAAACTGAACAAATATAAAAATATATCAAAGTTGGTAGGATGCTGCTGCCAAAGCAGGACTGAGAGGAAAACTGAAGGACAGGGAATAATTTTCTATTCATTCTCACGCCAGAACTACCCTGATACCAAAATGAGACTAAAAGATTCCAAGCAAGCTACTATTATCTCTCAGGAACACAGATTCAATGATCCTTTTACAATTACAGCCTAGAGAATCCAACAATATGTAAGAGGGATAGTACAACACGGTCAAGTAGGGTTTATCTCAGTAACGCAGTGTTGGTCTGACATTTCAAAAAACAGACTATGTCATTTACCTTATCTGTACTAAAAATATGAAAACTATATGCTATCTATAGATAAACACTTGATAAAATTCAACATCCTTTCTTGATGAAAACTGTTATCAAAGTAATAAGAAATTTTCTTCCCCTAAAAAAGGACATTTATGACGTCCCTTGGTTAAACAGGAGAATATTTTTGCAAGAAAACTGTGATAAGTCAAAGATGCATATTGTAATTCCCAGATCAAATACTAAAAACAGCAAAAAGAGGATAAAATAGTCTTTTTAGCAAATAGTTCTAGAAAAATGTCATAATATGGAAAAATAATGAATCTCTAGCCTTATCTCACTCCATAAACCAGATGTGGACAAACTATGGCCTCGGGGCCAAACTTGGCCTCTGTCTGTTTTCATACAGCTCAGAAACTAACAATAATTTTACATTTTTAAAAGATTTTTAAAAAGCAAAAATTAAAGAAGTAAAAACGTTAAAAACGTAAAAATTGTTACATATAAAAATATAAGATATTCAAATTTCAGTAAACATAAATGAAGTTCTGTTGGATCATGGCCACAGTCATTCGTGTATATATTGTCAATGGTTGCTCTTGCACTACAATGGCAGAGTTGAGTAGTGGACACAAATACCGCATGATGCACAAAACTAAAAAATTTATTATCTCACCCTTTACAGGACAACTGCTGACCCTTCCCATAAACAAAAATTAGTAAGAGACACAAAAAAATCCCAGATATCAAAAAACTAGAACCCAAAAGCTTCTGGAAGAAAACATAGCAAGCTCTCTTCATGATCATGGGGTAGGCAAAGATTTCTTAAAGACAAAAGAATGTTTTAACCATAAAAAAAGCAAATTGTTCTTTATGCAAATCCCAAAAAGTTCTTCAAAATATATTAAGAAAAAATAAACGTAATCTGAGAAAGGGCTGGATTCATATTATAAAGAATTCCTACACATCAGTCATAAAGAAGACAATTCACTAAAAACAAAAAATTGACTAGAGTATTAAAAAAATAAAAGATATATAAGTAGGCAGTTTCTTTTCATGAGACTAATGTGCTTATTTCTCCAGCTTAGGTGGTTGTTTCGCTGATAGCAGGTCACTGTCAGCTGCCTCCAGGAATCACCTTTGGTTGAAGGGAATGCTTTGCCCAGGTCTCACCCCATTCCTATGGCAGCTGGCATTTAATGACTGGCTGATATCTCCTTTCCTACACCATTATTTGATGAAATTTAAAATTTAAATTTAAATGTAAAAGTTTTGGTTCTTGTTTAGAAAAACATTTGCTTCTCCCTCACTACCCTGTGCAAAAGATGAGTTTGAGGCAGGTAAACCTGAAATCAGCAAGAGCTGGAAGCACCCAGCCTCCCTAGTCAGGGTCCTTAGCGCTTCATCATAGTGACTACACTCTGGCCACTTGAGGGCACTGTGGATCCACTGAGTGGGCCACTGATAGCGCTGTCTGGGAGAGAGAGGGTTAAGGGAGACAGTCTTGATTTCGTCTCTGTATCAGGGATATTACTAGATGAACCAGATGTAGTGCTGGCACAGGAAGAGTTAATCATAGCCTTATCAGATCAACCGATATGCATGTGTATTTGTCATGATAGGAAGCCATGAACTGCAGCCTTATGTGACCTCTCTAGGTGCCTAAGTTTGACAGGGAGTGTGGGGAGGGTTTCAGCAGGGCAGCCTGGATAACCCAAGCCAGGCAGAGACAAAGGAGCATCTGCCTCAGATGAAAATCTCAGAAGCTGTGGGGATGGCTGTCTGCCCGGAAGCCCGCCTCCCACCCCTTGCTCAGCGCAGCTAGCTTCCCCTGCCCTGCAGGAAGCTGGACAGGATGGGGGAAAGCCTGAGTTAGCTGAGTTAGTCCTGGGGTACAGGGTGCCTATGGGAGCCTACAGGACGATGACATCAGAACAGTGACATCACAGTAAAAACCTCCAAAAACGGTGAGGAGGAGCAAAAGCCTTGCTTTCTCACCCCAGGAAACCAGCACCCTGAGAAGGGAGATGCTTGGTCCTGATCTGCCTGACTCTGCCTGGAACACCAGGCTCCTCCGCCATGTCATGTTTTGTCTCCTGGGAGCAGGTGAGTCCTGAATACAGCTGGGACATCCCTGCATCCATAGCATTCGATTGTTGCTGAAGTATCAAACTCTCCTGAGCTGAGTCTTCGGCTTGTCTCCTTCCTCCACAGGTTCAGTGGCTGCTGGAGTCATCCAGTCCCCAAGGCATCTGATCAAAGAAAAGAGGGAAACAGCTACTCTGCAATGCTATCCTATCCCTGAACACGACACTGTCTACTGGTACCAGCAGGGTCCAGGGCAGGGCCCCCAGTTCCTCATTTCGTTTTATCAAAAGATGCAGAGAGAAAAAGGAAGCATCCCTGATCGATTCTCAGCTCAACAGTTCAGTGACTATCATTCTGAACTGAACATGAGCTCCTTGGAGCTGGGGGACTCAGCCGTGTACCTCTGTGCCAGCAGCTTAGGCACAGCCCTGCAGAATTACTGGCTTTCTGTACCGAAACCCTCCTGTCTCAGTTGGGGATGTAACAGGGAGAAGGAGGTGGGGGCTGCCACACAGCTTTAGCCAAGCCCCAGAGATGCTTTTAGTTCTTTTCTAACGTTTTCCCCCATCCTGCTGAGCTCAGTGAGAGCTCCTGCACTTGTGGGCTCCGGACCCACTGGAAGTTCTCACATCTTAGCCAGTACTTTTTAATTCCTAGCAAGTGGTGGGAGCTCGTACTCTGTGCCAACATATGGGTATGTGTTTTAGTGTGTTTTCTGTTGCCATACAGAATACCTGAGACTGGGTATTTTATACATAAATGAAATTTGCTTCTTACAGCTCTGGAGGCTGGGAAGTCCAGGGTCAAGGACCCACATCTGGTGAGGATCTTCTTGCTGGTGAGGACTCCGCACAGTCCTCAGGTGGCACAGGATATCACATATGAGGGGGCTCATGAAAGATGGCCAAACTGGCTTTTATAACAGACCCACTCTCATGATAACCTACCCATTCCCTCTATAACCCATTAATCCATGAATGGATTAACCTTCACGAGGGCAGAGTCCTTAAGACCTAGTCACCTCCCAAAGGTCCTACCTCTCAATGCTGCTGCATTGGGAACCAAGTTTTCAATATATAAATTATTTAGGAACACAGTCAAATCATAGCAGTGCACATTGTGTTTTTTTCTTCTTTTTTGAGACAGGGTCTCACGCTGTCACCCAGACTGGAGTGCAGTGGTGTGATCATGGCTCATTGCAACCTTGAGCTCCTGGGTTCAAGCAATCCTCCTGCCTCAGCTGCTTGAGTAGCTATGACTACAGGGAAACATCACCTTGTAGTGATGTGTCCCCTTGCCTGGCTATTTTTTTTTAATTTTTATTTTTTATAGAGATGAGGCCTTGTCATGTTGTCCAGATTAGTCTCAAACTCCTCAAATGATCCTCCCGACTTTATGTGTTTTAATGCAAAGATAGACATTAGTATATCCACTTTAAAAATGAAGAAGATTTCAGTGTACTATTTTATAGATACAGAGCTGTGCCTCATGAACTTCTCCAGTATTTCGTATTTCTAAGGATCAAAGCCAGGATCCAAACCTACGACTCCATGCCTCCAAAATAAAACTTCTAAAATTCTATAGTGTTTCCTGGGCCTTGGTCAAGGAGCTACAGCAAAGCACTATTCTTCCATCTCAAGACTAGCCAAGCAGTAGAAGAGGGTCACATGTTATGGAATGTGGTTACTATGGCTTATGGCCTGCCAATCTCCAGGACATATAACTTCTGGCCAGAGAATATTTGTCCTGTCTTAGTTCCATATAGAATGGGGCCACAATATGTCCTAATATAGACGTATAGGGACAAGGGGCATTTCTAATACATCAGAGGGTTCAGTCAAGGAAACAGAATCCTCTAGGAATTCCAAGGAGAATAGGAGTTAAAACAGGGAATTAGTGGTTATAAACCACTGGAAGGCTGAGAAGTGGGAGGTTCTCAGAAGGCTGAAGCTTGCCCTCAGATCCACCACTAGTGATGAGAAAGGCTGAAGTTGCTACTTTTGCCAAGGTCAGGGACTACTGGAAATAGCTGAGAGTCACAGTGGTCTTGCAGTGACCAAGAGGGGGATTCACAAGAAAGTATCGAGAGGTCGTTGCAAATCCACCTGTCTGTTGCTGTCAGATAAAAGTCTTTATTCTGAGGAATCGCCATACTGTTTTCCATAATAGTTGAACTAGTTTACAAGGATCTAGAACTAGAAGTACCATATGACCCAGCCATCCCGTTACTGGGTATATACCCAAAGGATTATAAATCATGCTGCTCTAAAGACACATGCACACGTATGTTTATTGCAGCACTATTCACAATAGCAAAGACTTGGAATCAACCCAAATGTCCATCAGTGACAGACTGGATTAAGAAAATGTGGCACATATATACCATGGAATACTATGCAGCCATAAAAAAGGATGAGTTTGTGTCCTTTGTAGGGACATGGATGCAGCTGGAAACCATCATTCTTAGCAAACTATCACAAGAACAGAAAACCAAACACCGCATGTTCTCACTCATAGGTGGGAACTGAACAATGAGATCACTTGGACTCGGGAAGGGGAACATCACACACCGGGGCCTATCACGGGGAGTGGGGAGGGAGGAGGGATTGCATTGGGAGTTATACCTGATGTAAATGACGAGTTGATGGGTGCTGACGAGTTGATGGGTGCAGCACGCCAACATGGCACAAGTATACATATGTAACAAACCTGCACGTTATCCACATGTACCCTAGAACTTAAAGTATAATAAAAAAATAAAAATAAATTTAAAAAATTAAAAAAAAGTCTTTATTCTGCTTCCAACTTTTCCACAAGTATAACTTATTGGGGGAAGCAAAACTGTTTTCAGAAACTTGCTCTCAGGAGAATCTGGGACATGTATTTTCAAGTCTTCTAGCTCTTACAATGAGAGAGAGAGAGAGATTGTTGGAGGACATTTAAGGGTACTCAGTGCCAATAGACAAGCATCAGCACACCCAGCTATGCAGCAGAGAAATGGAAAGCAGGAGAATAAATGTTATATTTTCTGTCAACTTGTCCATGAAAATTTATTACATGTATATATATAGTTTTGCTGTTGTCATTTAGTTGTTGTTCACTTGTTAATTTATTCAGTAGATATTCCTGGAATACCTATTATGTTAAAAATTTCCTTGGAATACAGAAAATGAGATGTAATTTTTCAAATTACACATTTTGTCTTTAAGAAGTCTAAAGTCTGGCAAGATAATATATTCCTAATTATTCATACATGCATTTACAACGTATGAGAGTCATTTGAATCAGTCAGTTTTCTGGCGTGAAACAGATGACACATTCAAAAAGGCTGAAGTGAAAACAATTTAATCAAAGGACTGTGTTCAGAGGGATAAACAGACTTAGGGACACAAGGAGTGTTCGAGGGACCAGGGGTTTCCAGCACACTGAGAAGCCAGTACCACTCCTGGGCCTATGGAGAAAGGGGTGGGAGGGAAATGCTGTGTTCCTGGAGGTGCATGCAAGTAATGAGAAAAGTTTCCCAGAGGGAGGAACTCAGGACCAGAAGCTAGGAAGGGGAAGCCCAGATATTCTGAACTCTCTCTTCACTACCCTTCATTGTCCAGCTGGTGTCTGCCATTGGAAAGCCCAGCCGAAACCTTGGATAGCACCCTTTGCTGAAATCAGTCTTCAGGGGCACAGCCCAGGGCAGTACAGGGCAGGGAGGCGAGAGTGGGTTGCGGGGAGCGTTGGGTGCACATGTACAACAACCAGCACAGCAGCTACCAAGTGTATGATGTGCCATTTGCAGATGCATATGCAAGTACACAGTGGACAGAGACCAACTTAATTCTACCTGTTTTATGTGAACTTACAGAAAATTCCCTTGTTGATTGCTAATAACAAGCAATATTGTTAATCCCATTTTCTCTGGGCCATCATATACGAAGTACATTATTTCAATTAATTTCTTAAGAACTTCATAAGGGAGAACAATTCACTCCCATATTACAGGTAAAAAACTGTTAGAGAATTTAGATAATTTTCTAAAGGAGGTACAGCTAACAAATGTTGAACTTGGACTCACACCTAGGCCATACAAACTTTCAACCTATGCTTGAAGTTACTCCACCCTATACATTTTGGTAGAGGAAGATACCTTCAACATTGGAAACATTGACCCAAATGTCCCTTTTAGAAACAATGCATCTGACACAAATCATTTGAATAACATCTTTCACGTGGGAGGCTACATGCTAAAGAGGAAGGTCCTTGGAGATGAGGAGACCTCAGTGGTTCATATTCTGATTCCTTGGGTCAGTGACTTGAAAAACATTTGGCTAAGTTTTGTCACTTGTAAACTGAGGCCAGTAATATATGTCTTACAGAGAAATTTTATACTTGTAAATAAGACAGAGTCTAATACATAGTATAGGCCTCAATAAATCTTAGGTCCCTGTGAATTTTCTGACAAATCTCTAGTCGAGCAGTTATTTACTTTGTGCAATCTGGTAACAAAGGCAGACACAAATTACTTTTGTCTGATTCACCTATGATTCAGACACAAAGTCATCTAAAATGCCGATATAGTAGTCTGATCGTTCACTGGTAAAAGTAACATAAACAGTTGTGCCTTAAGAGAAAGTGAAAAATGTTGCATCTTACAGCATTTCCTGCTTGATACTGAGTCTGATATGCAAGGTGTGATGCTCCCAGAAAGGTGTGAATTCAGAGCAATCCTGATGGATTCCATCTCCTGTTGCTCCAGCACAAACTCAATATTGTACCTTTATCCTGGTTTCCCCTCTTCCTATTTCATTCTCCCATCTCTCTTATTCCTAATTCCTGAGATCCTTTCCAAAGCAAACTACTTTCACCAAAGCCCACGTCTCAAACTTTGCCTTCAGGGTCAGCTTAAAACTTTGACAGTAATAGAATGGGATGACCCTCTAAGACACTTCTCTTTGAAAAAGGCCGTGGTTTTCTTTTAGTTATACTGCCATGCATTCATTCACAAGTCTTATAATGATATGTGAACTATCTCTTCCAAGTTCATTTTGACTCATTCTGAGTTTCCAACAGACTTACATGGGTCTCTGCTCAGTTAAGGCTCTGAGCTTATTTGTAACTGAATAGACTAAGTTTATGTTTCACAGCTTCAGGGTCTGCCTGGACTCAGAGAACCATTCATTTCTTTCTTCAGTCATTCAACAAAAATTTAATGAGCGTATGTGCAGAGTAGATCCAAGTTTTGTGGAGCATGAGGCTTATAAAATTTTAGGGATCACTTTGAAAAAGAGAATACAAAATGACAGTGTCTTGAAAAAATTCTGTGCAAGGCCAGGCACAGTGGCTCATGCCTGTAATCCCAGCATTTTTGGAGGCTGAGGTGGGTGGATCATTTGAAGTCAGGCATTTAAAATTAGCCTAGCCAATATGGTAAAACCCTGTCTCTACTAAAAATACAAAAATTAGCCAGGCATGGTGGTGGGCACCTGTACTCCCAGCTACTTAGGAGACTGAGGCAGGAGAACCACTTGAGCCCAGGAAGCGGAGGTTGCAGTGAGCAGAGATCACACCATTGTACTCCAGCCTGGGTAAGAGTGAGACTCTGTCTCAAATTAAAAAAAATAAATAAATTCTGTGCAAGTGAGAAGGTCTAAAGTTATTCTTCATTGACTTCATGGCAAATCCACTTCTAGCTAGTTACCGTGTGTAGGCACCATGTAAATGCTTGAGAAACATTAGCACAAAAAACAGACAAAGCTGCAAAATAAGGTGTATGTTTTCAACAAAAGAGAATTTGTAAATCAATAATGATCAAGAAATAAAAATGTAAATACAAGGAAAATACTCCTGGTAGATGTTTATCGCCCCAGAGAAGTCAGAGTATTGTTGAGAATTCTATTGGTGGATCACACCTTATTTATTGATGGATCACACCTTATTTTGATAACAATTCTCAGTGCTCTTGGATTCCATGTGCCCTACCCTAAAGAATCTGAGCCCTGAGATGGAAAACTCTCCTTTCCTGTCCTGACTCAACGATGGGCAATGATCTCTTTTTCTGTGTGCCTTTTGGTATCCCAGGACCAGGGGAGTTCTGGGCATAGATGAGAAAGCTCTTCCTGGGATTGCCAGGCCCCAGCCACAGCCTCTCCATGGGGGTGTTCATGGGTCTCCTCCCTGTCTCCACTTCAGATTCTGTATCCATTCTCACTGGCGCATGAGTGTAGGAATTACCCACTCAGGTTACATCAAGATGTGCAGTCACAAAAAGGGAGCCTCACACCGAGATGTAACCTGTATCTGAAATAACAATAGTACCACTATTGACTGGATGTAAATTTTGCACCACAGCACATTTATGGTTCAATCAATATCCTCCCATTTGTGGGTATAAGACCTTCTGAATGGACACAGGGCATTTCCCTGTTACCCTAAAGGCACCAGACTAGTGTACTTGTGGGCAAATATCTCATATGATTCCCTAATGAGCTTCCTCTTATTTTTACACAAAAGAAAAAAAGGAGAGTGAGTTTTCCCCACATAGTCCATCAACTCACAAGCCAATCTCCTGCAGAAATACCCTCACAGATAGACCAAGAAATGCTGCTCTACCAGCTACCTAGGTAGGCCCTAGCCTGGTCAGGTTGACACCTAAAATTAACCATCACAAAACTCATGAGAACACAGAGGTCTGAGTTCTGATGATGAGATTCCTATTAGGTGACGGAGACTCAGGTGGCCTCCCCTAAAACAAAAGGAGAAGTCATATCTGTATTAGTCATACATATGTATATATGTACATACATGTATGTATTCTATTGGTTCTGTTTCTCTCTGAGGAGGAGGTGACCTAGATTATTCCTTTTCTGGATAAAGGATGGAAGCAGTGTGGATCATCACTTAGTGTGTTCTGATAGCCATGTGTCACTATGTATTCTTTGTGTCTTCACATCTTTTCCTGTTGTATTTTAAAGCATTTTCATAGTATGTGGTGTTGCCTAGTAAAGCATTCTCATAGCAAAAAAAAAAAAGTATATATGTATAATATGCATGATATATATATTTTTAAA